CCATTTGGAGGTTAGGATTCAGAAGTCGATATAGAGTAAATATCAATGCAGTGTAAATTTTGGCAGTATGTGACTTATTCTAGCAATATTATTCAGCAAAAGAGGTAACATAAGATCACTATTGTATACGAGGAATTGGCTCCTAAAGAAAATTAGGAAGAAAATGTTACCAATTTATCAGTTTGACTACGCGCGTGTGATATCAAAAGGTTGCACTTATAACATTATTTGACATGTCTGTGCCATTTAGACGTTAGGATACGTTAGGGTTCATGACATTTTGAGAATAGGATAAGTTAGGATCTAGGACATCTGAATCTGAATTAGTTGTCATGAGGGCCGACCGAAAGTTGCACTTCTGATAACATTGTTATTTGATATTTCTGCCATTTGCAGGTTAGGTTTTAGAAGTCCATGTAGTGTAAATAGCAGTGCAGTGTGCATTTTGATTGTTTGCGGCCACCAACTCATGATTATTCAGCAAAAGAGACTGGAGATATAACATCTATTTATCAGGAGAATTGAGTCTACAGAATATTAGGACAAAAATTGATCACTTTTTATATGCAGCATCTCAATTGATATAATTCAAAATTCACATCTTATTAATTTGGGTGCGGAGTGCCCTGTTGGTGTAATTTTAACCCTTCATATCGCAAATTTCTCTTCAGCAAATAAGTAATTACATAATGCCTAATACTTATTGTTCAAGAATCTGTTATTATTATCTATTCCCTGTAACACGTGCATCACTTGATATTTTCGTAATGATATAAATTGGGTGTGGGTATTGCTCGTGACTGGCGTGTGTCTGAGTTGCGTTTTGATTGAAAGATTTTATGCCCGTTGTTCAATTATACAACACGAACTTTAATTATTGTGCTGTCAGTATATTGCACAATATTGATTTTTAGCTTTCCAACATGAAATGCGTTGAAATATTTTGTAACATAGGTATATCTTATTATAAAGACAAATGTCTCATCAAGTATAATTTGTCAATTGAATATATGTATTAGTAGGATATAGAATAGAAGATGATGCTAGAAATGCTCTCCAGAGTATTAATCCAGGAAGCATTATAACACATTCACGGATTTTTCTAAATTGCTCTCTCAGCACTATTTTTCTATTGAGAAATATAAGTTTTGATTACCAATAAGCTACTTGTGAGATTTATCTTGTCCAGTCTCAATAGTATTGAGTCAAATTTATTCAATTTCTCATATTTTGTACTCTATATTTGGATAAGAAATAATTGGCTTGATGGTGATAAAATCTCTACTAACTTGTATTTTTTATATATACTAAAAAATACATCCTAAATTTAAAAAAAAAAGTAAAAATTTAAACATGTGCGTAAACAGTCTCATGAGCAATTATAGCATCATCTACCAACCAGTTTTATCTCAACTGGATTTTAATCATACTAGTAACTAGAGCATTTTCCTTATACACATATTTTTATTAATGCAATTGCAACCAATGCATATTTATATTCGTTTTATAATTTAACACATATTTTTATTAAGTTATTTATATTTTTACTAAGCCGATTATCTCTGCGGTTATAGAATGGTACCGTCGCAATTAATATATCATAAAATCATGCGATATAAAATAAATCACATGAATAATAATCCAAGTTTTTTGCATGCTCAGATTAATGAATATTCTATAACTTGTTTAATGGTATCATTAAATAATTCATCCTACGTTACTAATTGGATAATTAAAAAGGACCGATATATTACTGATTCAATTAAATCGAATAATACATATTATAATAATAAATGGTAATCTGCCCGAATGGTCCATGATGTGAGTGCACCAGAAATCAATGATTCCTTTTCCATTGTTTATTATTATCATTTTACTACGTTAATCAGTTTTTTACACAGTTGTATGCATTTTTTTTCCTAATATTTTTCTTCCATGGAACTGGACCTGTGCTTCGGCTTTCAGTTTCCTGTATTTTACCTTCTTGCCTTATTCATCAATAATATTCATTCTTCTTCTTACCAATACTTTTAATCCTTTTATTTTACTTTCGACGACTTTGTGTAGGAGGCACTTTTTTCGCAGAATGGGTCCGAACCAGTTTCCTTTCCGTTGCAGGGTTGTGTTCAGTACAGTTCCTTCTTCGACCGCTCTTCTCGACACTTCTTTATTGGTTATTTTGTCTGTCTCCATTACCACAATCCAAAAACTCTCCGGATAGTTTTTGTTGGCCTTTCTTAAAGTCCATGTATATATGCTCCGTACAGAGCTATGCCCCAACATTTTAGGGGGCATTCATTAATCACGTGAGCGAGTTTTTAAGGATTTTTCGACCCCTCTCCCTGGTAATCCATGGTGATACTCAAAATTACCCCCCATCTCCCACCAAACATCACGTGTGTTTTTAGTTACGTAAAAAAATGTACAATTTTTTTTTAATGTTCGAACTTCTTTAAAAAAAATTAGTTAAAAAATAAATACACGTGATATCTTACAATACCCTCTCTTCCCCACGTGATATTTCGTGATTTTTTTGTCAAACCCCCCCCTCCCCCTGAAAACCTCACGTGATTAATGGACGCCCCCTTATTAGTCTCTTAAGCCGAAGCTTTCTTTGTTTGTTTGCTCGTCAGTAGCTTTCTTAAATCATATACAATATTTTATAATGATTCTATAAAACTGATAATTGTGGTTTAGTTTCTGTACTCTATATAGTCACTATTTTCATTTTTTGGGCGTAACAATGTGCTTTAAGCACAATCATTATTATCTAATCGATTTGCTTTGATAGTTTTGATCCATTTCAAAATTCAATCCACTTTAGTTAAAAAGTGATCAACAATATAGCTTGACAAATTTAATCTTTCACGTATAAGAAATCATATCAATATGAAAATATAGAGCCTTTAGAATTTTTAGCTAATTCTGACTTAGCTAGTCTCTACGCGTTATTTATTCTACTTTATGATTAATTTTGTTATTCTTGATTTGATATCGAAAAGTTTATGAAAATTTTTCTCGCTGCTTTCGATATATCAAAGAATAAAGAATATCACGGTCAGGTGCAAAAAATAAATCACCCTTCCAAAGACCTACTAATATTTAACCATATCGATAGTATCTCATTTTCAATAATTTATAATTCGAGATATGCTTCCTACACGTGCAATTTTCTTATTAACTGCCGCAACATGTGCAGAATCGTCGTACTCCTACACATCGAGACTAGGCAATTGCTTTGTAGACAAAACGCACGCTAGTTTCCGCAATGGCGCCTCCTGTGCGATAACGACACGTAGCCCAGGCAGGAAGTTCTGCGTTGCAATGGCAATGCCTACGTGTAAGAAAATTGCGATAAGTACCATGGGTCATGCACATTTCAGATAGTGATAGCACGATGACTGCATTTTTTATTAATTATTTTTATTTGTTTGTTTTTCAGTTTGATTTTATCTTAATGACTGGGTGTGGATTGTGGTAACGCCATCTATTTCCAACGCCATATATTTCCAAGAAATATAAGCTATAGAAAAGAATTAGTATATTCATCGATAATTTGAATACTTGAAGTTGTTGAAAATGAGAGGCAAATGCAATTTTTTTTACAAATGCAAAGACTATCAAATTTAGTATTTGTTTAGCAGCGCTAATAATATGTGTTCGGACATATTTTCATTTTGTTATATTGGCCATGAAGGTAGCAATCTTCATGGCATTGAGCGTTTACACGGGATGGTTGCTACCCCTGGTAGAGGAGCTAGCGGAGAGTTTAATGGTACTAATTGTGTAATAAATAATCAATAAATGAATCTTCTTTTATTATAACTTTGTAACAAATCAGTGATTCTAATAACTGCAACAAATACATAATATATCAACAAATCAGTGTTTAATACAGTTCACAGCTACAAGGGTTAAATTATAACCCAACAACGTGAGTTACCGAAGGAGAGTTTTAATAAATTTCATAACTACGTGACGCATTTACAATATGATTTCTATATATAATTTATTGTCTTGTATACTTTTATATAATTGTATAAAGAGATTTTGAACATCTATATCTAGAATACACAAAATGTGAGCAACACACGTTTCCTGCAATCTTTGCAAAAAATAACCATCTGACCACCGTTGACTTCATTTAATTACCACTCCAATCCAACACGCTCTATCTATATACAACTTTGTCGACATATAACTTAGCTTTTGATAAGGACAAGTCTATAAATTTTATATCCATTAACTGTAACACGATTTTCAAATGTCTTGAACACATACATTGTACTTGCAATGGCAATAAAAACACCTACACGAAATTGCAAGCAATCGGCAGGTGCATGCGGACGGACCTTTCGGAGTTAATTGATCGCGCGTTTTGTAATTTATAGGTTGTCAGTAATAAGATGTTGCAATATTGAATCAATCGTTTCCTAACATAGACACCCACATGGTTTATGAGTAGAATACGAATCGCCTTTGATAATAAATAATTTTAGAAGGAATAATTTTTTCACGTATAGGTTGCAGATTATTTAATATATAAACATTCTGATATATACATATATATATATATATATATACACATATATACATATATATATATATATATATATATATATATATATATATATATCAAATAATTATCAGATGTATTATATGTATTAAATAATTTACAAAATATCTTAATCGAAATTCAGTGAAAAAAATCCATTAACTGGTAGCGAGTTGAAAATTATTCGATTATCAAAATTACTACTACGCAATAGAGCTTTGTGGTAGGAGTTTGAAAATTTAGGGTCATCCAAATGTGTCTTTTAATAACAAATTATTTAAAATAAGATTATGAAAGAAAGGTTCAAAAATATCAAGGGTGATCAAAAGTTGATTTTTGTGTACTGTTTACTAGTTATAACATTAATACTATTATTTATAAATAATATGATTTGTGTAGTTTGATATCCAAAGCATATTAGTAATATCTAAATTCTTATTTACAGAGCCGGTTCTGGAGCCAATGGCATCTTCTCTCGTCGCTTGGACTTTTCTTCCTTCAATTTGCTGCCTCGTCATAAGTTGAACTCCTATCATATTAAGGTGAGTGGAAGTAATTTTTATCTTTTATTTTGTTCTTCCTTAATTAGATTTATGAATAACGAAATTGTTTAACCAGTTTGATTCCTCTTGCTGTACTTTTAATTCCAATCTGTCAACCTAAGACATTAAGTAATTGTTTTGACATTATTTTATGGCATTCTGAATGGATGGCAACACAGTAGTTGTTGTCCAATCTAGTTGTGACTAATTAATTCTACTCGAAGTATTGGTTGGCATTCATTGATTATATATGCTGCTATACCCACGAGACGCGATTTTTCACTTGAGGTTATATTTGAAATCTGTAACCTCAAATTTTTACATCAAAGCTGATGTACTTGGTTGGGATCGAACCATCGAACCCGGAACTAGTTTGTACTAGCCCAGTACGAACTGATTACGTCACCGCTTGCCCCATGAATTCATAAGGATTTATATTTATTATCAAACTATTGTATAGTTATATTTATAGGAGTTATATTTTTAGTATCGACGGCGTACGTGTCGATAATCATGCAAGGATTATTCATTCGACATTTACACGTAACTCTAAAAATAAATTCTATTTGCTTTAGGAAGTCGTATGAGTCATCCCTCGTAGCACGTAGCGTGAAGGGTTTGTCGTGTAGACGTAATGAACACAACGGATAAACGACCGTCGCTACGCTTTGTTCGTATTGCTACGTCGTTTCCCGTTTTCGTAAGGAAAAGCTTCTATTTCTAACTCTGTGTGAAGGATTTCGATTAGTCTTTCTGGTACTTTAACCAATGTTTGATTAAATTTAGAGTAATAATATTTTGCTTATTTAAATATAATATTTTTAAAATTGTAAAGTAACTTTTCTAATCTGTTGTGAACCGATTAGTTCATAACCTGAATTGTAGAAAGATTTAGTGATCCACCGAGATGCTGCCCAACTTCGTTGAAGTACTGTTGAAGCCCAGATATAATGAATTGCCATATCAAACCATTAAAAGACGATGAATAGTTGAAATTGTTGTTCATTTAGATATTTTTTTTTTTATTAAACTCTATTTGATTCAGCAATCAGAAATACATAAGGATTTCTATAAGCTAAATTGACAATAAAATAAAATAAAAAGATAAAATGATACGATGTTGAAGATTGACAGATTATAGATATGTTTCTTGTTTGATTGTTGATATGATAAAGGTGTCACTTGTTTGAATTTTGAGTTAATACTGATCTTACTTGAGATTTCAGTTGATATTAACTAACAGAGTTTTGATAATTTTATATAATTTTTCTGGTTGGTTTATTTTTTGGTGCAAGCGACTTCCCATTACATTCATTATCCAATCATATATTGACTTGAATTGAATCATATTATTGTGAGTTAGGTGAGTTGAGACCAAGTAATATGAATTTCTTAGAAAGAAAGATCAATGATTGAGGAATTATTTATGTATAGACAGATGCAATACAATATAAGAGATTATTTTATACTTCGAAATATGAAGTGTAATAAAGGGATTAAGTTTTATTATTTCTATTATATATCAAAGTATTAATATATATATATATATATATATATATATATATATATATATATCTATATAATTCCTTTAGACCAGGGTTGAGCCTCAGGTGTTAACATAATCATACTAAAATATTGCCATGAGTATGGTATTATTCCTTTTGTCATCTCGTCATATATAAATTTTGAAGAACATCTAATCAATTATTGAATTTTTATCTTTTATTCTATAACCGAATTATTTTCTGATATCATGAGCTATAATTACTTCCTCCTACCACTAGATATACAACGAGATTTTCATAAAACTCTAACTCAAAAGGCGGACACCAGTTAGTGATTATTGGTGAAAGAAAGAAAGATTACCTAGATCAGCTTATTGACAAGGAAATTAATATAATTATCATAAAATTTTCAAAATTTTTCATATCCTCTCATAACAAAAACCATGAGACTTTTAGGGGGCGTCTATTAATCACGTGAGGTTTTTAGGGGGGAGGGTCTGATAAAAAATCACAAAATATCACCTGGTGGAGGGAGGGGTATAGTAGGATATCACGTGTATTTATTTTTTAACTGACTTTTTAAAAAAAATCAAACATTTTCGAAAAAAAAATTATTGAAAATACACCTGATGTTTGGCGGGGGAGGGGGGTAATTTTGAATATCACCATGGATCACCAAGGGGGAGGCGGGGTCCAAAAATCCTTAAAAACTCGCATGAGTATAACTCAAATGGCTGACATCACTTAGCTCTTATTGGTCAAATATAGGAAAGGTCTCCTAGCTTAAGTCATAGAGAAGCATATCTGTTACTGTATATTACTATTATAATAAATACAAAACATTTTAATAGTTGCCATTTAAAAATACATTAAATCCCACGAATAGTCGTCTTCTCTCGCATTCAATATTCTATAATAGTATCAGAATCGCTGAGGCAACTAGTCGGAAAACTGCTTAACGTTAAAAAGATTGTTTCACAGGGTGTGTCTCTGCGATAAATCGCTTCGCCAGCATGATGGATGAACGTAAATGAAAAAACAAAGTCAATGGCCTCTCAAATATTGCAAATAGCATCGTAACGCATAGACGTATTCGTATACGTAGTATTCAGCAAATATTTTCAGCAAGCGGAGCGGGACCCAGGTGCAACGAAAATAGTTCAATCACATTCACCTCAGACGCGCAACTCCACGTAGTAAACCATATTGTGAATTTATTAGGAATGTGCAAGCGCCATTTTGCTCGTCTAGAATATATAGTAAAATACATTAATGCATTGTTATATAAAAAAGCTGATGATAGTGTGAATATTGTTAAAAAAACTATAGATTTTTATCACAATTTAGATATTCATGATCTCTGATGATTTTCAAATATTAGAGCACACCATTTGAACAGCTAGGGGCCAATTTTTGGATAATTCATAAAAAACTATAGATTTTTATAATAGTTCTGATATCTTAACATACGTCTTCCATATTAAGTGTAAACATTTTCAAACATTAGAGCAAACCATTTAAATTGAACAGTTAGGGCCGAGTTTTTGGATTAAATAGCTATGATGTTATCGGTCTTTTATGTTGAGAAATCGCATAAGTAGTCACGGACTGTAAAAAAGCTATGACTCTGCTATTCGATCAAGTGATTTACACAATAAGAACTTCTTACTAAATCCTAACCTCCAAATGGTACAGAAATGGTCAGATTCAGTTCCAGTCAGAATATGGCTTCACGCAGGTGTTGTCATAAAAACAATGAATTGTTACACTTATTTTTCCTTCCTACTACTAATCTATTTTAATTTATGAAGACCTTTCTTTACAATTCATAATATTGATAATTTTATATAAGCCTTGTTGTATTTCTTATGATAAAAGGTAATAATTGTGAATATTTAACTCACAGTTTATTATAATTACATGAATGAACTTAATTTATTAATAAAATTATTTTTACGTAATCTATTAGTCACACGCCATCTTATAGTAGCTTATATAGCGTTATTGAATAAATTGTAAGAATTTTTCTTTAGTTTAATTCATACATAGCTACTTTTATCGCAGAATGAACTAGAAAGGATATTGTTAAAAAACTGTCTTTGGACGCCATTTTTTTTCAATTTGGCGCCAATTTGCCGTAAAAATTCGAGGTGACAAAGTTGAAATTCTTAAAGGCAACATCAAAATCTATAAGATTATCAATTTTCAAAATTTTCGGTGTCCTATACCGACAACAAACTTTTTTTGCACCAAATGACTGGACTACTAGGTAATTTTTCTTTTCTTGGCCCAATAATGAGTAAATTATATGAGAGTTTTGAGTTAGAATTTTGTAAATTTTTTGTTGTATTTCTTGAGGAGGTAATTGAGTATGAATGATTGTAAATTTTGAGCCTATAAAAATCTAGATAATTTGTTTTGTTTTGTTTATTAAAGTGATCTATACCAATCTATACAAAGTACATTGAGCTAAAATTTTTGGCTTATCATTCACATTATTGTAATAAATATTATATCGATAGTTGGAGAATCATTCCAATAAGTAAATTCATCAATTCTGTTCATATATGCAAAGATGTTGTTCTAAAGGTCTTCAATATTATCATTGCGCAGCTTCATTCTTCGGTCTTCTTGAAACTGGTGTCTCAAGAAGCTGAGTGACTATAGAATTTGAATGATGTTCCAGTTTTTGAAAATATTTGACACTGTAATTATTTATTGATAGCTTTTTATAATTATTGCAATAAATTATTGCATTAGATATTTAATTAATTTTGTGTAGTATTCATTGCGTTTTCATTTTTTCAGTCACTTAGGTGGCAAAAGTTTGAGCAGGTTTGACTTGAAATTTGTATCTGATGCAGAGCTGCTTATCTTCTTACTCAATAGTTAAAAAAAAACATACTATTAATTTGTTCGGGCAATAACATATGAGACTTAGAGAAGAATCTTTTCTTCTTATTTGCAAATGTTATTGAGTACCACTACCCTTCACAAAATAGTTAGTCTTATTTCAATATCATTGATAAAGTATTTCATAAGATTGACTTGCATTTTCACGATGAGCATTCATTGTCTCACTTTTAGCAGCAATGCAATTATTTTCTCCATTCATCTATCTATTTCCACCATACATTCTTTCAATCAAATAAATAATTCTGCTAAAAATTGATGGCACAAAACAAGTTATACTGCTGAATGTACCTATTCTTTTTTAATACACGATATGATGGCGCTTTCACTTTGCTTTTCTGGCAATTTTCATGGTCGGATTTTCGTTTTTCATTTTGTGCACGGTATACGGATTCATTCGCAATGCTTTTTGTGTCCTTTGAAATCGGTCTGCGTGTTTTTGTTTTGTGCACTCCGCGGTGATTTATATCTCTGTACTATACGGTGCGGCTGCAAATTCTCTCTCAACTCAAACACAGACAAGGTTCTGAATACAAAAGCGTAAAAGACAAGAACATATTTTGTATATTTTCTTTATACATT